TGAGGCAAGGTGAGGGTGGGAGGGGGCCGCAGGAGGCTGGGGTAGACGGCGGGGGGAGCGATGAGGCTGGGGAACATCATCGCCGGGGCCGTGCGCGGAGCAGGGCTGGGGCCGCTTGCTTGTTTGTTTGTTTGCTTTTTTGCTTTTGTTTTTCTGCTTTGCAAACCTCGTTTAGTAAAGATCCAGCTAGCAAGCCCGGCGGGGTTTTCTCTCTCTGCCCCTTCCTCCTGGACGATGGGTTTTATAGTGGTCAGCCCCGCTGAAGCTCTTTCAAAAGTGACAGCCCCAACAATGGGGTTCAACAAAGTTCTCCACTTGAGCTTCATTCAGGGCGAGCTCCGGGCTTCTTCATTGGTCCGAGGCTGCAATTTATGATTGGATTAGACTTCATAAGCAACCGGGGCACAATGGCCCCGCCACAAAGAAAGTGTAGTCATCAATTTTGCATATTGACCGCCTCTTTGGAATACAGCGCTCCAAAGGCTCCCAGCAGGGTTTTGTTCAGAGGCAACACACACAGGCTAATTAAATGCCTATTTAAAAGTTTCGAATGACATCTTGCCTCGTAGAAAGGGAATTATTTAAAGAAAGCACTAAATTTATTTGCCGCTCTCCTGCTGAGTTTAGGAAATCAATCAATAAATATTCATATAAACTTATCTGCGGGCTCTCAGAAAAGCACGGGGTTTGTGGAATGGAAAATACAACTTAGAAAACGTGGAACTAAGCTCTGTTGAGGGGAGGGGGGGAATAATCAGAGAGCGGACCCCGTCGTGGATTGAGCCCGTTCTGCCCCTTGCTATTGGTACCCGGCGAAATTTGTGTGTCCTTAGGCTTATTTTTCTGTCTGCAGGGTATAAACGTCCGGCGTATAAACCGAATTTGCGGAGTTAATCTGTACTTTGAGGATTCGAACTTCGCAAGAGTTTTGCGAACGTGTGCTCGGCCAGGAGGTTTGCTCGTACCAGACCGAAATGTAAGACCTGAATGTAGGAACTCCGCTCCGGGAAAAATCCAAACACTGGGAAGTGGAAAAGATCCCGACAGCTTTGTGGGACCCCGCCGGGTTCTCAATCTGTTGGTCTTCTTAAGCTCATCTACATTAAAAATAGTGGGAATAGCTCCCTGCGCCCCTGGAAATCAAAGCAAAGTTGTAGCGTTTGAACCCTTTTGGCTCTCCTGAGCCAGGCTCGGGTTTATCGGGATCGGCTCGGAGCCTTCTCGACGTGGCTGAATTCACCTGAACTCGCTTTACATCTGCGTGAGGGCAGAGTTCCGGGGGGTGTCTGAAGCCCCGAGTCCCTTAACTGCAGTGAGCGGGACAAGTGTCACCGCCTAACGAAAAAGTAGAAAACAGTTGTGGGTTTTGTGGGGGTTTTTTTGGCAGAGAGGTTTTGTTTGTGGTGGCAAACGTGGAAATGGGCGCTAGCTATTTTTCTTTGGAGCTGGGTAATGAAAGCAATTATTTGAGAGTGGTTTTACCTGATTTCTCTGTTAAAGACTGTAACAGATGTGTTAAATGTCCTATGTTTTAAAAGCACCCTATTCAGTCCTTTGGTGTGGCTGAACCTTTGCAAGCAGAAGTGTGCAGCTCAACCATGCAGCCTTTATCCTATTAACCATGAACTAACTGTCACCTTCAGCTGTTTTCCCTTTTTACTTTTTAACACAAAGCTTTCTCAAAAATCTTATTAACCAGCTTTATTTCTCTCGATGGTTTTTTGTCCGGACGTTTTGTGTTGATTATCTCCATGTCGATGCTTTAACCATTCAATAAAAGTGCATCTGCGATTTATATCACATTAGGGAAGAAAGAAAGTCTGTTAAACCTCTCCCTTGATTCAAATCAAAAAGTTATTTACCAGGGAGGACGGAATCAGCCCTGGAAATTGTATGATCCTGACAAGCTTTCCCGGTGCTGCTCCCCGGTCTCCAGCCGACGAGCATCTGCAGAAAGTAGCCTTGGAAGATCGGCTGTTTGAAAGCATCACTTTGAAATAAAACCTCGCTGGAGGTTCCCCCCCCACCCCCGCCCCTTCCCAGTTTTGTTAATCTTGATGCTTAGCAGGTAAAGGGGAAAAAAAAGGGGCAGAAAGGCGCGGGCACAGCCCAAAGGGCTCCGGGGGGTCCCCGGCACCTGCTCCCCCGCACCCGGGGGTGTAGGGGAGGGGGGGCTGCCCCGTCCTGCTCCGGGTACAGCTTTCCCTCTCCCCTATCCGGAGCAATCCGGGCTTATCTCGCTACCCTTTCACACGCACGGCTGCTCTCAAGGTGTTATTTAGCAAGCGAGTGGGACGGTAGCGCCCCCTCCCGCCTCCGGCATTTCCCAACACAGCCCCCCGAGTCTCGGAGCAGCCCGGGCGGATCCGAGAACACTTCGCTTTTTACAGTCATTATAAGTTCTTTTGAGATTATTTACTCCTTTCTTTACATATACATCGGGGGCATTTTGCCTGACTATAGACCAACTGCTGCTAATTTCTCTGGTTTAAAAAAGAGGGTCTGACATTTTCTGGAAGGTTGGGTCAAACACACGCTGGGGCACACGTGGACCCAGCGCCTTGGGATGCGTCTGAGCACACTCATAAAGAACTCCTTAAGCACCAAGGCAAAAGGGACTAGACATCTATTGAAAGGGAAGATAGACCATAAGAAACCAAGAAATCAGACGAAAGGATCTTATTTTAAGTGATCTCCTTTGGAAGTTCCTTTTCAAAGGCAGTGATCATTTAAGAGAAAGGGAATTCTAATGTCTCAGGATAAAACCTGTGACTAATGCCGTTTGACCTATGCTCATGCCGTTTTGTGCTTCCTGCCATTCATTTTAATGTCGTTATCTTCAAATTTATTTCTTAAAAGTCACTCACTTTCTTTGTCGCTTAAAA